CGGGGGCGGAGGAGTCGACGCGGGTTAGACTGGGATCGCGTCGGTGCACGTCGGCACGGCCAAGGACAGCGCGAGATCGCTCCTGATCGCTCTGCCACCTTGATCTCGGCCGCGGGGAGTGTAGATGAGGCACGCGCATATGGGGACTGATGGGAGCCATTGGGAGGTGATGCGGGCTCGTGCGTCGTGATGGCCCGGCTTCTTCTGGGAGGGGTCGGTTTAATTTCGGGGGTGAGGATAAATGTGCAGTCGGCGGATGGTGCTGACGTACTCTTTGCGAGGCCTTCGAAGGCAGGACCGTTTGCGCTCAAATCGCACACGACGTTTACCTGGGCCAAGCACACAGCTGGGCTCGTTGGCTGCGGAAGTTGCTGAATCCCAATATTTTCCCAACGGCAGTGCTCGGCGGCTATTGCGGTGTCGTTGCGCTCAACTTCTGGCGGATTCGTCAGCTTGGAAACGCACACACACACACACACACTCTCTCTCTCTACCTCTGGGAGCAACTTTTCATTTGACACAAGCTATCGCCGTCAGCCATGGTGTGCCATATCCTACCGTGCCGAAATTGTCTGGAGGACGATCTCGGGACTTGTCGGACGGATGCTGCGCACAGCCTACGCTGGTCCGAGGACAAGCAGGCCGTCCAATCCTAATATCCTTGCAGAGATGCGCTACTCACGCACCCTCCGCTCGAATCGCATATGCCGACCTTGTGGATGGCGGCACGGTGAGCGCCTAGGCACCGGCTCCAGCCAGCATCACTGATCCACTTGAGATTACTTGCCAAATTTTCCTGTTGCAAGATCGGTCCCTTGAATTGTCCGCCGGATGTGGCGTCAGACGTTGCCAGTGAGTAGCTGACCGCGATGCGACCGGGGCGGGGCGGGGTTATCGTTCAGTAGAATTGGCTCCGCGGCGAGCTTGGACACCCCAGGATCTGCGAGGGAGCAGGTCCCCAGCGGGAAATTCAGAGTCGTCCGTGTGGGATTGGTGTAACAGCCCTGTTACGCGAGGAGGAGGGCCCGAGATCCAGCTCGCTGATGCGTACGGCAGGCAGGTCCCATGGTGAGCCCGCACAGATCCATATGTTCAGCTCGAGCAAGATAGATCTACTGAGATCCTTCCGCACTTGCATTGCGAATGAGATCACGGAGATCCTGAATTCGACCTCAGTGGCTTAATGGTCAACCGACGGTGGGAGCCGGGCAACTTGTGATGGTCCTGGTCAGGCTTGATAATTCGTGGATCCGTGACGCTTACAATCCGGGCGCAGTTCAGAGTGTGATAGTGGTGCCCCAATTGCGCGTCCTCATAATGGGCCGTGGGCCGTGGGTTTGCGCTGTGACGTTATGGTGCTAGGACCTTGTTTCATCTATGCCTAGCAGCATCTTAATCAAGGTGCGTCTTATCTACTGTAGAGCTTACAACAATGACTGACGCGCTTCGCGCTCCATGTCTCATCTCTGCGATGGAGAACAGATGCTCAGTGTTTATACCAGAAGTGTGCACTCCGGATCCGGTAATATTAATACGAAACTTGAGAGTTGTGCGGTGCTGCTGATCATCTTTGAACAGAAATCACTGCTTTCGATACCTACCAGCACGGTTCCTGGGCACATGGGTGTCCCACTATCGGTGCCCCAGAGGGCAATTAGGTCGGGTGTCCGACGTACCACATTGCTACTGCGGAGCGTATTTGATCGTGCCAAGGTCCGTCCATGTTTTTGCGCCATCCCTCGGAGCATCCATATGTTTGAAATCATGCATCTTCAGCTGGCTTTTGGCCTCTCGGCCGCATCCCGCAAAGCCAGGATTCGCTGCTATCCTGATTAAGAACGCGAACGACGCAGAAGGCGCCACTCAACCGTTTGCGGTAATTCCGCAAGCACGACGAGGTGCGCATATGTAGACCCCGAGTTTAATGTCCGGTATAGATAGACTCTATACCGAATCTTGGTTCTGTCACGCAGGCCCTTGGTGGAAATGGTGGAAAACGCACGTTGGCCAAGCTCCGGTAATTCAATACCTCGGCTGCGAGCAGAAGCGGCGCGTCTATGACAGCGCGAAGCCCTCCGCCATTCTCGAAAACTCTTCGCTCTCATGCTTAGATTTCGCTCTCAAAAACCCACTGGACCACGCGTACAGGCACCCGATTTTTTTACTCCACGTGAATGCTGAAAATGGAGTAGCAGTACACTTATTCTCCCGGGAGCTACACTCCTCGGACACTGGGTCTGAAGTATGTAGTTCAGTATCCGAAAGCTGTTGACGGTCCAAGTGTGGGCCAAATGGCCGATGACATGCGCGCATCTTCTGCTCCATCGTTCGTACGGGCTTTGCGCGCACTAACATGAGTCTAGCGCGCCACAACGGCATTCTCCCCATCGGAAGCTCTGAGCTCTGACGGTGACTGGGAGGATCGAAGCAAATGTCCCAGCACAATCGCCGCTGCAGGGTGTTCGATGCCATTCCGGAAGATTGGATTGACTGCTGAGAGATCTTTCAAGCATGATAGGAACGAGTAACCTCAGGCTGTCACCGGGTAGATCGCGCTCCTTTCGCAGGTTCACGTTAAGTGCCCGCATGACAGTTTACAGATCTGTCACGAATTAGATGGTAATGGTAGACGACACGAAATAAAGTGAGCGATCACACAGCTGGCTATATAACATCGGAGAGTCAAAGTCACCTTCCCTCCGAGTCAGCAATTTGAAGGGTGCAGTTGGCATGCGACTTGACTGCTTACCTGCTGCACCAGTGATATCTGACGCAATTAATTCCGCAAATTTCTGGCATGTGTAGTAGAATTGTCGTAGTGTTGATGAATAAGACGATATCGAAACAAATAGCGCATGATCTTCTAAGTTGTTCCGGGACATGTACAGACCCCGTCCAGTCGGTTGTGATGTGACGCAGAAAGTACGATCACGTGAAACGTGACACCTCGCGATATCTGTGCGGGCCGCATCAAGCCTCTAACAAGTGCAACTCACCAATACGTCGAAGTCGTAAGCTGTGCTACTTTTCTGCGTAACATATCTGCAGCTTGAAAGTCTGATATCAGTGCCCGAAATTCATAGAATCTATTATATGGGTTCCTCAGACATTCTGAGGCACCATATAGAGCGTACATTGAGCTCGCCACACGACGCCACACGAAGTTGGTGCGTTTTTGTATTTTTTATTTATTACAAAGCGAGGGAGACGTCGAATAAAATGTGTCCGTAAGAATTCTGCTCCGAATTGCCGTCGCATACTCAATTTGCTCTCCAGCTTCGATACCATTCGAGAGGAAATATTCCAATATTCACGAATCGACGTTCTTGCTATGTCCGTCATCTGCAAGGCTTAATTAATCAAGACATGTAGGCATGAGTGAATCATGTTTAAATGATAATGTTTTTATTGACACAATTCCATTAGAAGCATGAACAGCAAGAAAGCCAAACAACAGTCTACATGTACTGTTTCCAGATCTGGCAACGAGCAGGTTGAGTCATCTTACCCTCGACCATCTGCAGGAGATGGAATCATCGCTATGGTCCCAGAGCAATAGCTCGGAAAGCGCTAACTTCAATTGGTCTTGCGAGCTGTACATAGTTTCATCGATTCATACCGCGTCCCTGTTCCTCGTTTTGGCATCGTCTAACCGTTGAACGATTTTAGACTGAGGTAACACCTTATACAATACTTGTGGAATCATGCGGGTCGGGCAAATATATGCTGTGCTACAGATTGGTGAGTGTATTCTGTGTTTGTACATCTGTAAGATACAATGCTACACTTATACTCCTTCTCCACGAACCAACCGCTGCCCGCGAGCGGCATCCCCCCTCCGAGCCCCTTTGATACAACAAACAACAATCACATAATAATAATACTCTGCATAGTGGGTATCAATGTACATGCTTGTCCGGCTGGGTATAACATGTTAGGTAAGCTCGGTTTGCGCGACGTGCGAGCGACTTACTTCTGTGATTATGCAAACAAATCGGCGGTCGTTGACTGGCGTCTCAACATATCGCCCAAGAATCCAGCAACAGCTTCGGCGCCCTCCTTGACTCTGTCCCGCTCATCGTCCCGCACCTTTGACAAATACTGGACGTTGAATTTATCCGGGTGCCACTTCCTGATGTTCTCTTTAATCCGATCCTTCGGGCTCTTTGTCTTGTCCTTCGGATGATGGGGTGACAAAATATAGGCATCGATCGCAGCCAAGCTAAAGTCCTCCGGGCCCTTGGGAATCTTCAATACCGGCCAAGGAAACGAATACCAGCTCAAGACGTCCATAGTTGGTATCCTACTCCAACAGCCCTCGTGCTCCTCAAATAGCTTAATAACGTCGTCCTTGGTCATCTGCTTCGTCGACTGCGCCAGCCGCTCTTTCTCCTTCATCCGTCGGTATAGGTCTTGCTGCTGTCTTGCGTACTCCTCTTGACGGCGCTGCCACTCGTCCTCATCTTGTACAGGACTAGGCGAGTACTCTGTTGTCATAGGTGAACTCGGCGGAGCCTTCCAGGCAGAACCTCCAGAAGATGAATTCGATGCCTTCCAAGCAGGAGATTTTGCGGAAGCCTTGGGCGTACCTGCGGTAGTAGCCGTCGACGTTTGGCTAGACATGGAGGCACTGGAACGGCTAGAGAACGAGAAGCCCGACGTACTGCCGACACTAGACGAGGCCGTGCTACTACGGTCCCCGGATGCAGTGCTCGAGATCGAAGCACTTCGACCTGGAATATTTCGTGGCGCGGAATGAGACGTCGACGGCTGTGGAGTGGCTGGAGAACGACCGTTCTCATGCGGGAAGTTGTCTTGTCGTTTGCGTTCTTGGGCATGTCGCAGTAAGACCTCTTGTTCCCTTAGGAAATTACCGTCTGCTGCTAGCTGAGGTGCCGTTTGCTCTGCCTCCTGTCGGGCGAGCTCCTCGCTGTACCGCCGGTCCTCCTCTTCTGCCCTCAGACGCTCCGTATCTGCTCGCCGCTGCGCTTTGAGGCGTTCCTCTTCTTCGCGCCGGGACGCCTCCGCCCGTCGCCTCTCCTCCCTTTGCGCCTTTAACTTCACTTCTTCGTCCCTCTGCGCTCTTAGCTTCGCTTCTCCGTCCTTTTGCGCTCTTAGTTCCTCATCCCTCTGTGCTTTCAACTTCAGCTCCTCATCCCTCTGCGCCTTTAACTTTGCTTCCTCCCTCAATCTCGCTTCCTCTTCCCTCTGCACCTTCAACCTTGACTCCTCTTCCCGTCGTTTCAGCTCGCTCTGCCGCAATGCATCTTGCTTGGCTTGCAATTGCAACTGCTCGCGATCTAGCCTCTCTTCGCGCTGTCGCAATTCCTCTTCTCTCTGCTTTGACTCGTCTTCCCTAGAGCGATTTCCCTCTTCTCGGCGCGTGATTTCTTGATCTCTACGCTTCGCCTCCCTGGCTTGTTGGGTAATCTCGGACTCTCGTGCCTGGATCTCCTCGGCTTTCTGAGAAACTTCCTGGGCTCGACGCTTCGTGTCTTCCGCATCTCGGGAGGTTCGTTGTTCCCTACGTCTCACGTCTTCCTCTTTCCGTTTTACTTCCTCCACTCGCCGTAAAACCTCCTGCTCTTTGCGTCCAACCTCTTCTTCCCTCTGCTTGACCTCTCCCATCTGTTCTTGTAGCTCCCGTCTCCTCTGGTTAGCTTCTTGGTCCGCCCGCTTCATTTCCTCTTTCTGACGCTTCGCTTCCTCCGCCTGCCGCTTCATCTCCTCCTGGGCGCGTCTGATTCCTTGTTCTCGCCGCGTCACTTCCTCCGACTGTCGTTTGAGGTCCTCCTCTTTCTGCCTCACTACCTGTTCACGCTTCCCCACATCTTCCTCTCTACGCCTCACACTCTCCTCTTTCCGCTTCGCATCGTCCTCTCTCCGTCTTGCGTCTTCCTCTCTTCGCCTTGCATCCTCTTCTCGCTGCTCGGCGTCCTTCTCCTTCCCCCTCAATTCTTCTTCGCGCTGCCTGACTTCCTCCTCTCTCCGCCTTATACTATCTTCCCTCCGTTTGGCTTCCTCCTCCTTCTTCCGTATCTCTGCGGCCTTTCGCTGCGCTTCCTCTGTCATACGTCTCGCCTCATCTTCTCTCCTCTCGAGGGACTGAATACCGTAGCCGTCATCTTCCCAATCGCTTTCGCCTGAGTCAACAGATTGTTCATCGTAGGCGGGTAGATGTCGCCAATCGGAGCCGACGCGGCCATACGTTTCCTGTTTCGACGAGCGCGACAAATTTGAACGCGAACCCGTGGAATCACGTCGAGGACTGTGAGGGATACTCTCCGGCCCGTTCCAGAGTCGCGGCCGTGGACTTCCTTGAAGCTGGCGACCCCCGTCATCAGATGTGAAAGATCTTCTGCTGCCGGTGCGCATACCAACTTTGACATTTGAAATCGCCTGCCCTGTTGGGGGCCCTTGGAATGACCCCCAGCTGGGACTGACCTGCGGCTGACGAACCTCACTCTCGGCGGTAAGTGACCGTTTATGTGGAATCGGCCTGGTCGCAGAGACTCCCGACTGCTGTTGGCGGACGTACTCGGGCGACCCTCGGTGTCCTGACATCTGCGACGATGCTCGAATTGGTATCCCCGTATGATCAGTCGGCAGTTGGAAGTAGTCCGTCCCTCCTAGAGAGCCCGGTCGGGAAAGGTGCGCGCTTGCAGGCGTCGGCGGCTGCGTGGGCCATCCAGAAGACGTCGTACCATTCTGCATCTGTGGACGATCCTCGGACCTGCGAGAGTTGAAGTCATTTCCAGAAAGTCTCGGCGGAATCTTGGAGTTCTGACTCTGTCTATCTCTAGTTCTCTCTGTCGTCCATTGCTGATCGACGGCTTCGAGCTCGCCCTTCTCCTTCCACGACCCTATGTTGACCTCCACATCTGGTTCAGCGATGTATCTAGCATCATAGCGAACACTGCCTGACCGCGAAGGACCCCTGGGCGCATCGCTCGTGACGCTATCCCGTCTCGTGGGGGTAACAGGGATGTCTGGCGTCGCTGCAGCATGAGCAAACGTTCTGGACGTAGCTGGTCTGTCGTCTGTTGCCCCAGCAGGACGCCATATCTCCTGTCCCCTTGCTTTTGACAAAGAGGCAGCACTTGGTCGACGACTGACCCCCCTCTCCTCAGGCTCAGCAACAGTCGGACTAGGGGAAGACACTTGTGATACTTTCTGAAAACCGGCCGTAATCCCCCCGAAGGGCTTCGATCCACTAACTGGCCGCGAATTTCTCGGCTGCTGCCCCAAGCCGGCACTCTGAGATTGATCTACAGGCATCTGGCTGTCATCTCCATGATGGACAGAATAGGCGTCACAACATGCACTCTACAGACCATTAGCGCGCACATGCTTACCTGTGCCCGAGAGCCCAGCAGCATCCTCTCCATCCTGGCCAATAGTCATTTCGGTGATCGCGGAATCATAACGCGGCCGCACGCTTCGCTCTCTTCGAATTTGATCGAGGAGAGCCTGCTGTTCCCGAACTATTGCGCTGTATTCCATCGACTCCGCGCTAGCGCTCGATGCCTGTTGCTCTTCTCTCTCCCGCATGAAAAAATCATACCGCTCCTGCGCTATCCGACGAATACTTGCCATCGTGTTCCCATAATCCTGTACCACCCTCTCCTTCTCCTCGTCATTCAAACACCCTCTCAGCTTCTCCTCCTTCTCCTCCCGCGCCTTGTCGACCATGGGCTGCAGTTCGCGCTCGATCGTCCTCCTGATTTCATACTTCCACTGAGAGTCTGGATCGATGTTTGGCTCGGAACTGCCAGAAGCATCCTGTTCACTGATACTCGGAAGGAGCGTGTTCGCTGTAAGAGTTGCCATTGAGAGTCTGTTGGGACGTGACACTATACAGAGAGATAACCCGCGAGAGATCGGAGTGTGGATAACGAGGAGAGTGAATCGAATTCGGGGCTTCCAGGGGAATGTGGGGTGCAGTAACGAGCATGCAGTGCGGGGATGATGCTCACAAGTCGAGCCTCATGGAGACCGTCGAGATCTGAAGTAGAAATGCTGCAGCGATCGCGCCTCGTGTTAACCGCACACCTCCTGGGTTTACTCCGAAGGACGCCGCACACTCACTGGTGATGACCTGGCCTTGTGTTACTAGTCCAAAGCCGACGCCGCAATCCAGCTGGGACGTCAATTCGAAGGCCTGTGGCAAGCGTGCTGAAGTGATATGGTGCGTGGTCTGCGACAAGCGGACGATGCCCCCTCGAGGCGCAGACGCGACGCCCGGATCTTTATATCGCGTCTACCGAATCGTCCTGCACTCGCCACGCACCGTACGCTGATTTCCATGGGCGCTTCCCGGTGCTCGTGTTGTCACACATACCCTTTTTTGTTCTAGGCCCGTGACAAGAAGATATGCTCATGGCCCGAAGAACACCCATCACGAGCAAATGCGCTCTGGCTAGCGGCACACACCCAGATATCGACCTTTGTTGTCGGCGGACTCGGAGTGCGAAGATTCTCGAGACTATCGAACAACGCACAACGTAGGCATCGTGACCACCACATATATAGACTACGTCTGAATTCAAGTTATGGTGGCTACCGGCTCACCGCGACTTTATTTCTAATTCTAGCCACTACTGGAACCGATAGGATGTATTCCCATAAGCACACTGCGCGAAGAGGCTGGAAGTGGCGTCTGTGCAGCAATTTGCAGCGTCATTTGCCTTCGATTCGTTGTTGTATGAATCGCTTCCTTGAGGGTACAACAGTTTTATGACATGGGAACTGGAATAAAAATCAAGACAGTGGCAAGCACGCACAGCCGTTGCCTGGTCACTGGGCAGATTGAATGGAGGGAAAACATGACAGTAGCGGCGTATATACATGGGAGCTTGCGGGCACGATCGCCTTGTGCTTTTTGAGGTCACCTGGACGAGAACCCTTCATCCTTGCAGAAACATGCGTGTGATGTTCGTGAGTTTTGCTTCCAGAGCTACTAGATATATGATTGACGTCATTCACCAACGTCTGGACACTATGGGTCTATTGAACGGCAACTCCACCTCAGGTACGAGTGAGCCATTGTAGGAATGTTGTGAAACTTGCGGATATCTTTGGGGCAGCAGGAGATGCTAACACACTGCGATGTTTCATACGGCATCGTCCAAAACAATAAAGTTCGCGGTACAGTGTGAACATGGCGCTGTGCAGTAAGGCAATCTCGCCCGAACAGACGCGATCATACAGAACCGGCCCCTCGAATAGACATTTATGAATATTTGAAAAATATCACGCACACATGTTCCGTTCAATAGCTGTGTATGTCTGTTTGCGAGATGACGCAAATGCAATTGAAGAAACTATGACTAGGCATACACGTAAGGAATTAAACAAATTCAACATATCTTGCTACCTATAGAACAGTCAGGTAACATATGTTCTAACTGTAAGACTCGGTTTTATACTCAACTGTGCCGAAGGCCAATGAATATTCAATAATGAATGAGCAGTTTCCCAGAAAGTAAAGTTCTCAAGAGGAAGGGCCTAGGCCCATAAGTCTCAACAGGTAGCCAATCTTCGTCTTCACAAACGATGTACGCGACGCCGCAGACTCGTGGAGAACAACAAAGGGGTCATTGTCTAGTGGAAATCCTAGCGGTAAGGAACCCTGGATGGGATGAGACTCAGCCGCATGCAGTAAATTACCTGAGAAATGCCGTCCAACTTCCTGGCCTCCGAAGGGGTGTCTTCGACTCAGAAGTCGAGAGTTTGGAAGGAGTCCCAAACCGGAATCTATGTCTTCTAAACTTCCAGATACTCGTTGCCTTTAACGACACTGTGCGAACGGCAACGATGACTTCGCCATTGCCGAGTGAACTTACCTTTCAAGGTCGAGGGCATCCGGGGACTTCACCTGTTTGCGTGAAGAGTCGGTTTCCTAAATTGTGCCCTGTGCCGGTTCCGAAGAAGCGTGCAAACCGTGTATTAAGATCTGTGTAGCCTATCGTGGCGAGCAGTTGTTTGTATCCATGCAGATCTGCTTCTTGAAGCAGTCAGCGCTGGTTATTGAAATGATAAGACGTCGTCGGAAGAATCAACGAAGTGTATCCAGTGATGCATCCTCTGCCGTAACTACATCTAGAATGCTTCTCAGCGTGTGTCCGACGCTGGATCATGGCTCTTAAAGTGAGCTCAATACAATCAGTGTCATATCAAGTTGTGGAAGGATCACCTGCACAACTTTCACAAAAAGAGACTGCGAAAGGGAAGGTTGAATTGATCGTCATACTAATACACGGGGCTGACACTGCTGTCTGCGGTCATTTGAGGGAAAGCAAGAATCTCTAGTTTCATGGTAATGCAGTGCCTGCGTTGATTGCATTGGCTACCTGGCTGGTGTTTGGGCGGTTATAGGCGTATCTGATACAGAACACTGTCACACATCTTACCGATGTCGTCCACGCGCTGCTCACCTTTCGTAACTGTCAATATACAAGTCCGCCGTGCTGCAAGTGCGCTTGAACGCGGGGTAGTTGAGAAGACGCTCCATGTAAGAGCGGAACTGCGGTCCCTCTGGGAGCATAAATCCACGATAATGGGCGAGAACATTTGTAGCACGGAAGAGCCCTGAAAACCAAAAAACAAAACAAAATAAATATTGGAAGGCGACAGATACGAAACCGATATAATTGTGTAATGACGCTCACACGGTGCGACCATAACATCGGTCAAGCTCAACTCTCCACCGTCCGACCACAACCCGCACGATGAATTGGTCTCTTGAGCTGCACGCTGGAAGAGCTTAACGAGTCCATCGATGGCTTGCACGAATTCTTTTCCCGTCTGAATTTGCGCTGTTCGTATTGTTCATTTATGCACACCATCCGGTGATTATCTATAAGACAACTCACACTCCTCTTGGGCTTGGATAAAACGATAGAAGGCAGGAACCAGTGTACGGTTGACGTGATCCAATTGAAGTCGGATAAGAACGCGTGCATCTGCCAGGGACTCGCATCAGCGAGATCGCTCGGTCTCGTGGGCAGTAAGCTCCATACATGGATCGGTGACAGGTGGAAGCAGGCTGCGCTTCACTGTAGACGATGCTAAGCTGACAGGGAGAGTGAGTGGTACTCCGCAATGGCGAAGTCAAAGTCACACGCGCACTCTTCGAGAAACTCAAGTATGACAGTGCTCTCATTTACGGCTCGCGGCGGCTTGTATGTCTCCAGCCTCAATGCAGGAACGAGGCCTTTCGGAGATACTTCAAGGAGATCTGCAGGCTTCTTGTAGGGGTCGACCTCATCTAAATCGAAGCATCTTAGTCGGTGGCCGAGCTGCGGAGAACTTCATATTGGACTGACAATACTATGCAGTTGTGAGTAAATGTGATATTTTGCGGGAAACAAGCTGACCCTGTAGTCTATTCCATAAAATTCCAATGCTACCCAGATGCGTTGCACAAAAGGACAAAAACAGCTAGCGAACAGCGTGATATCCTTCGGGCTGATGTGCGCCTGGGCTGTCTTATACGCCTCGCCTGTACATTCACGATGATAAGTCTTCCCTGTGTCGGCGGTCGAGGCCATGGTGATTTGAGAATGGATGCGTGAGCTCACTGCTTTTGAAGCGCGAACTGGTAGTGCGTCATGCTGCCACACGATCACATGACGGCGAAGCGGCGGCTCAAAAGTCAACTCAGGCTGGACACACCGCGAGTAAGCCTTGCCTTGAGGAGCTCAGCGAGAAAGTCGGTTGTACTCAGGACTCGCGGTAGAGTCAAAGAGGGAAAGCTTGCTAGTGCAGTCGATCTCGTGGCGAGAACATGTAAAAGGTCGAACGATTGAGAAAGAAATCGCGTTCAGTCGCGCCGGGAGAGTGCTGGCACTGCCACGAAGTTGAATATAAAGACAACAAAGTTTATGTTGTACAAATCGTTTGTTGAAGGCGGGAGTACATTCTAGTGACGGTCGTCATGTTCAGTACTCGTCAACCGCGCGGATTTTTGAGTTAGTGACTTACCAAAAGCGTATCTATTCAGTAGTAAACGACATTCGCTCAACAATGATGTCGGATATTCGACGAAAGCAGGTATCCACCTCAGCGAGATATCCGTCAGTGTTTTGATCCTGCATGGTTCCAGGAGGGACATCAAGCGTGAAGGACGGTGCGTAAGTAGGGAATGCTGGGTGCTCTGGGATATATGCATCTGCCGAAAGTTCACGACCCAGCTTACAAAAGGCCCATGGGTCAAATATGTAGGAAGTGTGAGATTGGAGACTGTAAGAACTCACAGCCAGGGAGGTCAAGTAGGTCCATGCTCTTGAGGTATTTGCAGAATTGTACCCACCTGCGTATCTCAGCAAGCCACTATCATGGTGGTGCAACGATCATGCTCACCTCCTCCAAGGAACAGCGTCGGACACCTCCATTCTTCGCAAACACGCTTGATACACCAGCCAAGACTACCGTCTGAGTTATTTAGAGACCAATTGAATATCATATTAGGATCTCCGGCAAGTCCGTCGACACCACACTGTATAACTAAAAAATCAGGCTGGAATGCATGTTTGATGCGCTCAACACAAGGCCATATCCGAGCAAATGTGGCGTCTGACGCTCCACGTAACAGAGGCAAAGACAGCGTGAATGGGTCGAACAGAGCGTCCTCAGGATTTGGAAGAAACGCAAGCTTTGAAGGAGGAAAAAAGCCTGGAGCCGTGTAGTGGATTGACAGCGTAAGAACCTGTGGTGCTGACGAGCCGTGTGCTGATGAAGAGAACGCCTGAGAGACCGCATCGGAGAAATGTAGGTCAAGATCTAAATACATGATCCGAGCTTTGCGAGGCGGCTGACACGAAGAGAGCTGTACACGCTTGAGAGCAAGAATGGCGAGGATACAGTCGGCAACATAGCAGAAACCAGATGCTTGGGATTTTTGTGCATGGTGTCTATACATTATCAGTATACGGGCCACAAGCTGAGTGGCTGTTGAGAACCTGCCGCCATCCCAGCAAATGGCAATATCCACGTGAGAATCGCGCAAAGCGTGGGCAGCTGTAACAGTCGGTGATTACCAAGGCTTCCCACTGATTGTCACTATGCCACATGGTGCCTAGAACATATCCCCAAATCGGCACTGATAGCGAAGGTCTGGACAATCTCTCCTTAAGCTGATTGGCGAAAGTGGCGATTTGGGGATATTTTCACAGCACGATGTACCAAAGAGCATCTCTGAAACTGCCTCACAGACCTGCCAATGTTGCCCCCGCTACGAGGCGAACGTATTCAGGAAGCCCAGCAAAGGGTGGACAGTCCTACACGGTGAACATGAACTCGACGGAACATAATTGATCGTACACAACACTGACCTCCTCAAGACCAAATTCCGCCTTGCGATTGCTATCATGGGTGAAATGCTCGTTGTTTGGTTTAAGAACCAACTCCAGGTAATCTCGAGTATGGTAAAGTAATAAATCCTTATGGCCCGCGGGAGTTGGTCGTAAGATATGCAAGCAAGTTTTCTCATTACATGCAGACGGATCCAGGAGACCAAACGCTTTGACGAGCGAGTGAACGAGTAATGAGCGGTTTCTGTTTGACGGTAAAAGAGATGAAAACTATGTCCGTATGAGCGCACAACATAATGAATATATCAGAGAATATGTATAATACCTTTACGAGCTCATTAGACACGACATAGCAAACATTGCGCACATAATCGGAGTCCGACATCGTGAGGAGGAACACAGCCAGGAAAGAGGAGCTCGCCAGGTAAAACGCGATCGGTAACGCGTGATGCATGTGACAGGAGCGGTTGGATCATTCGGCTCAATTCGGCTTGCGCTAGCTCTTCGACACCTCCGAGCGACCGAGTCTCTAAGCACTCTCAAGCCTGTGGATAAGACCAACCTACATATCTTTATACTACACTACCACACTTGTCAAAGTCTGATGGTATCAAGCAGCCTCGCGCGACGATTCGGGGTGTCTCATGCGCTCTATTCAATTGGCTTGTCATGATTCAATGCTCTCGTCACTCTCGGAGTCAAAACATGATGCGGCTTGCTGAAACTATTCCGATTGAACGCGGGGTTGGGGGCAGAAAATATGCGCAAGATGTTTTTTGGCTTTTCATTTGCCGTAATCGCACCCGCGGGACCCTGCTCTTCTGTGATCAGTCGACACTTATCAGAACGTCTTTTCTCATGGGGTGGCTTCTCATGGTGGGATCCCCCTAAGTACCTGCCTTTGCAATCATAGTAGTGGAGCTCAACTATGTTCTCGTTCCTCGCCCATCGTCAAGCATGGTGAGTCCTCAGTTGTCGTACCCCGAGTTGCGATTCAATATTGAGTGCTCGCAGCCGTTCCAAGCAGCAGGAGCGTCAAGAACGTATCAAGGGCCTTCCTCCTGTTTATCATGCACCCTTGACCACTGCCGATAAGGATATCCTCGCTCAACCGGTCTCGCAAGTTGTCGCAAATGTTCAGGCAGGGACTCTGAAGGCTTCTGAAGTCTTGGTAGCGTATGGCAAGAAGGCATTGAAGGCACATGCAGAGACAAACTGCCTAACGGAGGTGATGATTGAGAAAGCTGAGGAATGGGCCCAGTCTTGCAACACACAGGGTCCTCTTGCGGGAATGCCTATCAGTTTGAAGGATACCGCGGCTGTCGCAGGGTTCGATGCGAGCTTTGGCTACTCGGCGTACGTTGGCAAGCCGATGGAGAAGGACTCGGCGATTGTCCGTCTGCTTCGCGACGCTGGTGCAGTTCCATTCGTCAAGACTAATATCCCGATCACGCTGTTGTCACTCGAGTCGAAAAACGACGTCTTTGGAACGACCACCAATGTGTATAGTAAGGATCACACTCCAGGTGGATCGACCGGTGGCGAAGGAGCCTTGTTAGCTTATGGTGGCTCCCGCTTGGGCATTGGTACCGACGTTGCGGGTTCTGTGAGAGCACCAGCGTAAGTTTATTCGCGTATCTAGTATCTGTGCAGTCCCCTCATGTGACGACATTGCGCTACAGCCATTGGTCTGGCATTTATACCATCAAGGCGTCCTCGTTCCGATTCCTTAAAAGTGGGAACCCCACAAGTATGCCTGGTCAGGAGGGTGTACCCTCCGTTTATTCTCCTATGACCAGAACACTCGAGGATTTAGAGACTATCTGGCGGGCAATCGTGAGCATGAAGCCGTGGGAGTACGACCATGCAGTGAGTTGCACGCACATCTGTCAACCACATGACTAAAGGCCACGCTGTCCAGTGTCTAGCTATCCCTTGGCGTGAAGTGTCTCTTGCTAAGGAGAAGCCTCTTCGTTGGGGTGTGCTTTGGGATGATGGTGCGTATCTCGCCATTTTGAAGGAACCATCGTCGCGTGACTGCTATCTGTGACCAGGTGTAATTGTTCCTTCGCCTGCGTGCCGCCGCGCATTGCAAGAGGTTGTGTCGGTTTTGGAAGCCCATGGTAATGAAGTAATATCCATGTGAGCCCCAGTTGCGTGTTGTTATGTTATCATACTGACTTTGAACGCCATCAGTGATCCTCCCAGCCCATATGAAGGCCTTAAAATTGCATCTCAAATCTTGATGGCGGACGGAGGTGCGTTCTTTTTGCGCCCACTGCAGTGTTTTCTTTGGCTCACGCAGAATTGTAACCAGGCAAAGTATGCACCAGGCCAATGCGTTCTGGCGAATGGAATGACCCGGGTGTTGAACAAGCTCTTGGGATGCTCCGTGCCCCCCGCTTCTTCAAACGCCTGTATGCCTGGTACCTCCGACATATCCGGGGAGATGAGGTCTATGCAGGTCTGGTAGAGAACTGGTATGAGAAGTCCGTTCCGGAATATATGGCCCTGGTCTCCCAGCGTGAGGCTTACCGCGAGCAGTGGTTCAAATTCATGAGCGAGCAGGCGCTGGACTTCGTCTTGACAGTGCCGAACGCCCTACCGGCTGTTCCGCATGGAGGCATGAAGCAAGGATGGAAGGCTTGCGGATACACGTTCCTGTTCAATATCGTGCGTGTTGCTGTTCGGCTACTTCAGTATTGCTATGCTGATGGATGCACGGATTTCAGCTTGATTACACTGCAGGGGTTCTGCCCGTTACGCATGTTGACCGGGAGCGCGATGCGCTTCCGTCGACTTTCAAGGCGAGAAATGCAATTGAATCGGGCTCATACCGCATGTACGACGCCGGGAAGATGCATGGGTTGCCGGTCGGAGTACAGGTTGTTGGTAAACGTCTAGAGGAAGAGAAAGTCTTGGAAGGAATGAAGCTGATCGAAGGACTGCTGAAGAAAGAAGGCAAGGCATACGTTCTGTTTGAAGCTAGTGATTGAAAAAGTTCTTTGGTTGTCGCGGTAATATTCTCTGTGGTCGAGGTAATGCCATAATTTTTGGCGTTGTCGCCAGGGTGAAGCGTTTTGTCGGCATGAACGTTTAGTTGGAGCTGGACCATACACTGTGAAGTGGTTTTATTCAGGATTACGGGGGACCCCGTTTGAACTTGAAGGTATGAGGACCACCTCAATCCGAATCGGATCTGGCAGCTGCTTCACTCTCGGCGTGTATACAGGCTGGATGATATCACAGTCGATCGTTGATGAGTAGGATCGGCTCCGAAGCACAGCAATCAGAAAAGGTTCATACTTTGACTCACTCACCCAGGCTCTTGCTTTCTATCCATATGTGCTTTGTTGGAATAGTGATCTTCGATAAGTTGTATACGAGATCCGAGTTCTAGAGTCCAAGTCTGCCTGAGGAAGTCTACAGAACTTATGATCGGTTCGAGGGTATAGCGCCTCGTATTTATGAAATCAAGGGTCAGATCCAATTTTTTTTTGCGTATTGTACATCATACAAAGGTCTCTTTTAGGGCTGGTAGGATGCCGTCCGCCCTACAATCTTGCCTATATGTATACCACGACGTGGGAGGGGGATTAACACTATTTTTGCGCATTCAATACTCTTTCCATTGAACGAGGACAAGCTCGACTCTGGACGTAGGTGAGCCTGTTGCCACCGACATGGAGCAGTCAGGACTCGGCGCCGATCTCTATTCAACAGGAATACCCGATGCGCACATTCCGAAACAGTACATCGCTCAGCAGCCATCCACACCTTGTCCAGACGTTTATTAAGCCAACCGAGCGCGATCTGACTCCAGAGCTATCCTCGTCTCGGTCCCGCATGCGTTGCCGTAGAGGTATATAATCTCCTCGCGTCCACCCTGCTCTACTCACCGCCGCTACATCCTCGCATCCACAAACCCCCTCACCGCAGTGTCTCAGTCTACCCGCTTCTCGTCATTCTGGGTCCCCGCGCCCGAGCCGGAAACGAAGCTCGGCCGCCACCGCCAGCTCGCGCCCCTCGCGGGACTGCATGT